TGTTCCCAAAGCTGGGAGGCGCGCGGCCCGACCAAGGTCACAACTACGCAGTCGCATGGCGAGGGCCACGTAGGGCAAGGAGTGGGTATTTTGTTCCCAAGCCATGATATTATGCACACACATGGGGAGGGCCAGATAGGGTGAGAATTGGCTTTCCAGGTCCGAAGCACCAGGGGCATGCTTCGAGCGCCCCCACCACGATTACGCTTGTACGCAAGGGGGGCCAGACACCCTTCGTCTCTCCCCCTCTACTAAAAATCTTCCGTTAAATTGATTGAATACTTGCTTGAGCAAACCTTTATCTACAAAATGAGAAGATTCAGAATTTTGTTTTCATCATGAAAGAAAGGTGAATCCAATAGGGGAAAAAAAATTAAAAAGTCATATACATAATATTATAGACGTATGTACATAGTACACGTTTGCATTTTGTTTGAATACTTGAAGAATAACTTTTTTTTTCTTTTACTGAAACAAAGGTCGCCCGCCACATCGTGAGTAAGTGCACAATGTGGCACTCACGTCGTTCCAACCTTTGGTCCCAGGTCTCCGTGCAGCCAAAAGTGGCAGGCCGTATGGGGCGACATCGGACAACGTGGCATGCACAAACGCCCACCGGGTCAAGTACAGGAAGACACGCGGACMCATATCCATGCTTTCGGACAGATGGCGCGCCGCAGTGGCCAGAAGCTTACAACGTGGCACCCACCCCAACATGGGCTCGGGCACAGTTCTCCTTTGAGCCGAAAGTCGAGTACCACATCGAGCAAAAGGGGCTTCAGACGGAAGCAGTGAAACTGAAAAACAAAAAAGAAGCAATCAGCTCATTGGCCCCTATACAAGGCCTACGGCTCTTTTCAGACGCGGATGAACGTCGTTCAAACATTTGAGGAGGGGTGGGGAGCCAGAAGGTGGGGGAAACCTTTGGAACAAAGGGTCGAATCTCAACAGATCGTGACGACAAGGCCACTCTACTGCTTACAACACCCCGTTCCCTGTCTTAGTCGTCTTCAAAGGGTTTGACTCCCCGAGCGAAAGAAATTGCGATGAAGAGACCACCAGGGCGTCGGTGCTCCGCCGAAGGAGGGACAACTCCGAACTTATGCTTTCAGGGCCAGACGGGCTGGCCCTATCGACAGCCTTGTGTCATCCGAGCAGGCATACGTCGTCGCTGCAAGCACAGATTCTGACTTAGAGGCGTTCAGTCATAATCCCACGCACGGTAGCTTTGCACCGCTGGCTTTTCAGCCAAGCACAATTGCCAATTGTGCGAAC